AGAATACCTTGTAAAGTGGTTTGACAGTGTATTTTGTGGGCAAAACACAGCAGCCAATTGCGCACAGCAAAGTCCCACAAACAGTCATGGATTGAGTGAACCAGATTGAGCAGATTGAGAAGGAACAGGATGTGAGCATGTTTTTATTGGGGGGGTGGGGGAGCAATTATTATCTTCAGAAATCGATCCGCTAATCAACTAACAACCAGGTTCCTACTTACTGCTAGGTGAACAGAGGTATGTAGAGTAAGGAAATTTGCTAAGGTTTTACCCACCCGGGTCCTCTCGCTTGCTCACTAACTGCTATGCTACAGGACTCCATATCCAAGCATTAATAATTCTTACATAGTCCATGTGAGGATTCTTAAGAGTAAAGGCAATAAAGTTAAAACCCACATTATGATTAACTAATCTTGTTTAAATGTTGGATATAAAATATAACTTCTTGTATGAATGCTAGGATTTATTCAGTCCAGTTAGGCTCCTGCTTGTTCCTTAAGGCTATTATATATAGTAACAGGTCATAAAACTGTAACAAACCATTTTTAGTGACAGAGAAGCATTTGCTGCAAGACAAAATTTAAAAATGAACTAGTCACCTATAGCATTCATCATTTTTATTCTCAGCATGTAAGGCAAACAGCAAACTGTGGATGGAATTGCACATATGAGCCACGCACCCCAGGGACCACAATGAACAATGCGATGCACTAGATTTTGTGCGAGTCTTTTGCTTGCACCACTTTTCTTCTACCAGATTGAGCAGATTGAGAAGGAGCAGGATATATGGGTCCGTTCAGATGTCGCGTAGATTGAGAAAAATAATAATAATAATAATCCTTGCATTTGATATAGCGCTTTTCACGTCGGGAGGACGTCCCAAAGCACTTCACAGAATATACTGTAAAGTGAATTGACTGTATATTTGTGGGCGAACGCGGCAGCTAATTGCGCACAGCAATGTCCCACAAACAGTCATAGATTGAAAATGACCAATTTATTATTGTTTTTGGTTTTTGGAGGGATTATTATTAGGCTCTTTAGGAAACTTGCCCAAGGTTTCGCCCTCTGCCTGGAATTGAACTCCGGTCTCTCGCTCGCAAAGCGAGTCCTCTAACCACTGAGCTACAGGACTCCACAAAAAGGAGCTCCTCATTGCATTACCATCAATCATGATCCACTTTTAAACCCAACAAAAACCTCCCCAATTATACAGTCCACGAGAAAATCCCAAGATACGTGATGTTAAGTTAAATCAACACCTGGCATGGTAAATGATATGGTAAAAGGGTATCCACATCACACTAGTTCTTGCCAGGTTCCATTGACGCCCTATCACCGAATGGTCGATTTCAAGATCCTCACACTTGTCTTCAAATTCCTTCATGCTCTGGCACCTCCCTACCTCTCCGACCTGCTTACTCCCCAACCCACTGCTCGCCACCCAACTGGCTCCGGCCTTCTGCATGTCCCTCGTGCCCTTCGTTCCACCATCAGCAGCTGAGCTTTCAGCCACTACGCCCCGAAAGTCTGAAACATTTTCCCTTAAACCCTTGGCCTTGCCCCATCCCCATCTTCAGATCGCACCTTCCTCTTCGACCGTGCTTACGGTCACCTCCGGCTGACTCGGCGTCAAATTCCACCACCGTAAAGCGCTCTGAGAAACTACCCTGCATGAGGGGCGCTATTTATAGGCAAGTTGTTGTTGTAAATACTTCTTGTTCAGAGCAATAAATTGGAATTTAACACGCAATTGTCTTCATCTTAAAATAAAACCCATAAGATCAACACTGTTCCCCTGCAAAAAAAATTATAATTCTGAATAATAGGATCGAAAAAGCATCTTACAGTTAGACGTTCCTAAATTATCAAATAGAAATGACTCCGATGTGCCAGAGATGGAGTGCTCTCTTCCCCTATCCCTGCCAACACAGTTCTGACATCAATAAAGCTGCGTTGTGTCTTTCCCAAACATAGCTCAAACATCATGACTTTCAGCAGCCGATTGGCAGGACCATCTTTTTACTAAGAAACATCATGAACATCAGTACAGTGGATGGTGTTCTGGGGAGAGGGGGTTGTGGCCTGTTAAGCACACAGCTAGATAAGTTTCCTTACTCAATTCGCGTCTGTTTACCTAGCAGTAAGTAGGAACCCAGTTGTTCCGTCGATTGGCGGATCGCTTTCCGGGGGTTATAATCCCTTCAAGAACAAAAATAAATAAAAAATAATAATTTGGTCACTCAACCCAAGATTGTTGGTGGGACATGTTCCGCCCACAAAAGATAAAGTCACTTCACTTTACAGTATATCCTGTGAAGCGCTTTAAGACGTCTCAACAATGTGATGAGACACTATATCAAATGCAAGGATGATGATTATCATTATTATTATGATCAACGAGTCAACCAACAAGGCTAGACCTCTTTGAGCTTCCCCCTTGGCAAGTTCTGTCCAATTCACAGAGTATAATTGTGTCCTATTCTTACTTGCTATATGAAATACCTCACATTTATCTGCATTTAACTTCATTTACTCGCCATCAGCCTATATGCATATCTCTTTGCAAGTCTCTTGCTTCTTCCTGATAAAACAGTTCCCTCCAACTTGGTGTTATCAGCAAATTTAACTACCTTTCACTGTGTCTGCAAATCCAGGTTATTAATATGTACAAGCATACAGATCTGAGCCCTGAGGCACCCCACTTAATAGTTCCCCCAATTTGACCTAGTATTCCTAAGAATTTTGAACGCATTCAGCAGGTAAAGGAAATAACTGGTGAATCATGTTATCGTATGAAATAATTTAGTGTGGGAGCAAATGGGTTTAATGGAATGGTCATGGTGTGGGAACAGATTTTGCAGGTATTGAAGATACATCAATGAAACAGTCAGTGCAGTGCACTGTGGCAGTAAAAAAAGGAAATAAGATACTACTGGGTTGCGTTTGTATCTGGGTGGAATACAAATCATAGAGGTTATAATACTGTAGTATGTCAAGTGCAGTTATCGCCATCTTAATCTTCAGAAGAACATTACAGCCTTTTTAGGGTTTACAAAGCTAAGTAGCCGAGATAATAATAATAATAAACCTTGCATTTGATATAGCATCTTATCATGTCATTGAGACGTCTCAAAGAGCTTCACAGAATATAATGTAAAGTGGATTGACTTTGCATTTTGTGGGTGAAACGTGGCAGTCAATTGCGCACAAACAGTCGTGGATTGAGTGACCACATTCTTTTTGGGGGGTGGGTACGGGGGGGGGGACGGATTATTATCCCCAGAAAATGATCCACCAATCGACTAATAACCGGGTTCCCACTTACTGCTAGGTAAAATCAGCAAACTTGCCTAAGGTTTCGCCTTGCTCAGGAATCGAACCTGTATCCTTCCACTTCTGAGGCGAGCGCACTAACCACTACACTACGGGATTGAAGAATTTAGGTGGAGGATATGAGAAAATAAGCTATGTAGGTCTGTGCTTGACTGCAAGCAAAAGAGAATACAGCATCTCTATTGAAACTTGTGAGTGTGCAGCTCCACTGACACTGTGCACAACAGTTTCTAGACTACTGCAGGTCCAACATTTGATGGGAGGGGGAGAAAATAGAGAAAAACACTACATTTATGAATGACGATAAAATGCTATTCACACACACACACACTCACTCCACATCCCTCCCAACTTCAGTGGCTCAAAACCAATACTTCACGCCTGTAAATCCCAAATGAATCAATTTCTCTCGAATCCTGCAAATTCAGCTCATTCAATCGCAGTTGGTGAGCTTCCTGTAGTCTATTTTCAGAGCTATTTTAAAGTAGCCTTATTTGTAATGCATCTCTCTCTTGTCAGAAGCAGGAAGGCCCTTCTGACCAACAGGGCGGTGGTGCCTTTCTATTATCCTCCTGAAGATCCCAAGTCTTTCAACAGCAGGTTCCATCACTGTGGCAGAAGCCCTTATGATAGCACCCGCATACATTTTTCATAAAGTGATTAGTCCTTCATCAGCTCAGCTGCTCGTATTCTTGCCTCATCCTAATTGTTGCCACGAAGGGAGAGAAGCGATTGCAGCTGTTATACAACCCGGCAGGGCTCCGCAGGCCATAGATTTTAATGTTTTGGGGGAAGCTTGAGTAATCACGGCGATTTCAATTGCTGTTAGCTCTTAATTGCGCTATAAAACAGCGCTATTAAAAATTCACAGCCGAAAATAAAGTGGAGCCCGCCACTGTAACGCCACTCCTGCAGTGCACTTGTGAATGAATGACATCAAGCAGATCAACAAAAGGTTACCGATAAATGCCATCCTGAAAATTAGAACTACCTAATTGCACATTTGCTGGTACGGACACACACACACGTATACATGTATAACTCCCACGCACATACATACATGCACACAATAAACATCAAACCCTCCTAACCGTGCTTAATTACAGGTTTACTGGCCCTATGGTCTGCGAGAGAGCCACTCTCATCCACGGCACAAACTTGATCATCAGTCAGTTACTCGAGCTGGAGAGTGCACTTAAGAGGACATCATTATCCCTCCTTCTCCTCCACGATTAAATAGCTCACTACGACTAACTGGGCTCACCCGGAGACTAGGCATTTGGAAACCATACCCCATTCCTGCAGTACTTCTTGTTTGTTTCTTAAAGAATCCTGTTAAAAATCACCACTTATTAGACCCCATACCGGACTCCTTGGTCTGCTAAAAACAAATATATTCGCAAATACAAATGTATCTGTATATTCCCAAATTATACAGTCAATTCATCTGGCAGTATATTCTGTGAAGCGCTTCGACGTCATGATAAGACGCGATATAAAATGCAAGGATTATTATTATCATGCAAGTTAACAGGACGAGTTAATTGTGCGTCATTAGTAGAATAGTCTTGTAATATTTCGGTGCTAACAGCCAAAGTTTAGAACTTTTGTCTATAAAATAACAGCAGTAACAACAAATGACATCTGTATAGCGCCTTTCCCGTTGGGAGGACGTCCTGAATAATAAAACAATGAAATATAACAATTACCTTGTCAGCAGCTTCGGAGGCCAAGAGATTGGTGGCAAAGGTCTGTAGCTTGTGATGGGCCATGTTCTTCAGTGCAGTCAGGCTCCGGCGGGTCACGGCCTGCTTCAGGTTTACAGCGGGGTGACTCAGGGTGTCCACGGCAGCTGGAACAGCTTCATCACAAGCATTCAATATCTCTACTGCTGTGATTCCCATTACACAGCGGTCTAGTGCTCCTGCCAACAAAGAGAAAGGCCAATTGAAGCTCACGCCGCTTCCAATTTTTAGCACCGTCTCACGCTGACATGCCGGTGCATTGCTGGGGGAGTGCTGCATTGTTGGAGGTGCCCCCTTCAGATGGGATATTAATGATAATAATTCTTGTTTTTTGTGTAGCGTCTTATCCCGTCGTTCAGACGTCTCAAAGCGCTTCACAGAACTTACTGCAAAGTGAACTGACTATGTTATGTGGGCAAAACGTAGCCGTCAATTGCGCACAGCAGTGTCCTGCAAATAGTCGTGGATTGAAGCGAACAAACTACCAAACTTCACTATTTAAAGAGAGAAAGGAGGGATTATTTACCAAACCATTCCGCAGATGAAATTAGTCATTGACTTCATGGCTATATGTGGGACAGCAATGTATCCCTCCAGCTCCCCCCCACCCCCTGATCCCAACCCCCAGCTCGGGTCTGAATCCCTGACTGACCAGGGCCTTGGGACATCTTCCCGACGTGAAAGGCGCTGTATAAATGTAAGTTTGTGGTGCTGTTGCTGTGGACAAATTGGCTGCTGTGTTCCCCTACAAAGTATAACAGCAACACAACTACACTTAAAAAGCGCTCTTCACACACAGAACTTCCAGGAAACCCTATGGAGAGCTTTGAGTCATCTCGACAAGGCTCTCTATCAAATGCGAGGATTATTTTATTTATCTTGCTTTATCTTCAAATCAAAAGTATCACAGCAGTTCACTTCAAAGAGCATCCCATTTGGAAGACATACTGATGTTCCAATTAATTCCAACTTTAAAAAGCCATAGATAATTAATGTTTAGCTGTAAAAGCATAAGTATACCGCTGTCAACACATGCATCAGTTGTTTTCCAACATATATTACAGCAAAATGAGTCAGTTAAGAAATTAAAATAGTCGGAGAGATTCTTAACCTCTATGAATTTATTATTTTTTGGTGTTCTGTATTTCGTCCTAAAATACACAGTCGATTCACTTTACAATATATTCTGTGAAGCGCTTTGAAACATCTCAATGACATGATAAGGTACTATATCAAATGCAAGGATTATTATTATTATTTGCGATTTTAGTTTAGGTCTCGATAACAAGGGGTTAAATGCAGTGAGCGAGTTGGCTTTTAGCGAGCTTCTAATAAAACTCCCACTTTATTACACTCGCCATGGCAAGCAAGTGATTATTGGCCTCTCATGGTCTGGGAGCTAAGGAAGAGGGGCTGGAAACAGTTGGTTCTGGCAGTGGGAGAGCTGAAGCAAACGACTTCAGAGGGCAGTTGATGTTACAGAAGTGCTCAGGCTACAGCATCACCATGACTGATGGGAAAATACTTGAGCCGTTTTGTTTAGAAGCAGTTGAGGATGGACTGGTGTGCTTGAAAGCTCCTGTAGAAGCAGTTCAGAATGGAGAGTGACCATTATCGCTTCCTGTATTCAAGGTGTGCTAAGTAAAGCAGTTTTAATAATAATAATCCTTGCATTTGATATTGCACCTGATCATATCGTTGAGATGTCTCAAAGCGCTTCATAGAATATACTGTGAATTGATTGTATGTTTTATGGGCAAAACGGGACAACCAATTGGCACAGCAGCGTCCTACAAACATTTGTGGATTGAGTTACCAATAGACTGACAACCGGGTTCCTACTTACTGTTAGATAAACAGAGGCGTGTGGAGTAAGGAAACTTATCTGTTTCACCCCGCCCGGGAATCAAACCCGGATCCTCTCATGTGAGGTGAGCACGCTAAGCACTTCGCTAGGGGACTCCATGCTTTCCTTGATGTGTGAATGAAATTTACTACATCCATATTGTGTTCATTGATAGTTAGTGATTAAATTGTGCTTTGTCCCCACACATTTTTCAAACAGCCACATTAACAGGAAGTTGCTGGGCTCAAATGACCCCTGCTTTTGCTGTCCGTTGACAGGTTCCTTTACTTGAATTGAAACTTAGTTCCCCTCAACAATAACGACGACAACAAATTACACTTGTCTAGCGCCTTTCAATTCGGGAGGACGTCCCAGGGCGCTGGACAGTCAGGGATTCGGACCCGAGTAGGGGGTTGGGATCAGGAAGGGTGGATGGCAAGGAGGGTAGGGGTAGAGGGTGGCCGAGCATGCGATCGAAGAGGGTCTTGAGACAGCTGGCCTGTCTCAGGTTGTAGGCCTGAGCATGAGTGAAAATATTTGTAACTCTATTTGATACAGCACCTTGTCGGGTCGTCAAGACTTCTCAAAGCACTCGACAATTTTACTGTGAAGTGTAGGGGCTGATTTGAAGGCAAATGCAGCAGCTAATTTCCCCACAGCAATGTCCCACAATCAGCCATGAAGCGAGTGAGCAATTTTATCTGGGGGATTGTTGGACAACACACCAGGAGAAATCAGAAGGTTGTGGGTTCAAGCCTCGACTTTGAACTCACTTAAACCAGGGACCCTCCCTGCTTTATCTATCATTAAATCTCAGTGTATTGCTGGTAAAGTGCTGCATTGCTGCAGATTCCATCCTTTAGATGAAATGTTAAACTGAGGTCCTGTCTGCCTGTTCAGGTGGATGTTAAAGCTGTTAATGTCCCTCCTCGCATCCCACCCAACAATCCCACAGACAAAATTGGTCATTCGCTTCACGGCTATTTGTGGGATATCGCTGCCTGCAAATTGGGCACACTGGAGAGGGGGAAAAATAATTTCAATTGAATATAGCATTTAATTCGACTTATAGGTTTCACTGCCCCACAGTATAGCAGCTCTCAGATGACCAACCTTCCTTGTAAATTAGAGCAACCATCTTCACAGGCTGAGTATCATAGCCTGCAAAACCACAGCAAAATCAACATCTCTCCAACCCGGCCTCCAGCGATCTCCAATGATACACAAGACATTTCTGCTGGGAGCACTTCTTCGCTTAAGAGGCTCTTCAAGTTTGTGACACATCCAGTGGACCATGATGGCCTATTTTCTCTCAGCCTTCTATACCAGCTAATGTGCCTAATGTAGCCTGAAATGTTGACTTTCAACACTCTGCTCTCTTAAAAGATTTATTAAGAATGAAAACTACACTGAAATGAACCCGGCTCTGTCTCTTTCGCTGGTTCTGTCTGCGAGCATATTTGCAGCATCAATTAAGGAAACACAATTTAAATAAGAATAGTGGAGGCTATGCTTTCTAAATACACTCACTGAAGCTCAGTTTTATCCAGGCGGAGAGGATGAGGCGCATTAAGCATGTGGGTATACACAAAGTATGCCTACTGCAGATACTCCAATCTGACAACACGTCAAATGCTCAGTATCGACTCCGAGTCACTTAACCCACATTCAGGTGCAACTTTCCTCGACAAATTAAAAACCGCATTGCCAGAAAATAACTGAACTATGTTGAGCAACTCGTAATTGGCTTACGAGTTTCGTCCACAAAATATACAGTCAATCCACTCTACAATATTTTCTGTGATGCGCTTTGAGACGTTTAAACGACGTGATAAGGCGCTATATCAAATGCAAGGATTATTAATATAAGTGAAGGAAGCAAGGACTCTGGTTACGATAGAACTAATTCCCCTGCTGGAGCCACCTGCTGTTAACTGGTTCTCCTGCTCTTTCTCCATTCCAACAAACGAATCACGGAAAAATATTTTTCATGGCGTCTTATTTCCAGGCACGATCGCTGATGTGAATGATATAATTTGTGTTGTGGGTATCAAAGCTCGCCTCACAGATCTTTCCCTCAGGAGTCGATAGTAGCCCATCTAATGTGCCATTAGATGGGCTACTCCGTTTGAAAGTTTCTCTTTCAGTGAAGTACAGTGCATGTGCTGACACTTGCAATCGCTTCTCTGATGTTCAGCTCACTGGCAAGAACACACGTATGAACATAGTTTGGGGCGTAGTGGCTGAAAGCGCGGCCCCCGAGGGTGGAATTTACTGCACTTACCAGTGTCCATTTGCCAGACGTACACGGAGCCGTCTGAACATCCCACCACCAGGTAATCGTCTGAGGGACGCCACTTTAGGACTTGAATGGGGAAGAGATGCCTCGATGCCAGCATTATACACTTCCTCTCTCGCAGACTGAGAAGACCAACTGAATGATCGCTGGCCACGGAGCAGATGCAGTATTGGACCCTAGACTATAGCAACAATATAAAACAGAAACAGTTTGGATATGCATATTCAAACACTAGTCTAGATAATAATAATAATAATCTTTGCATTTAATACAGCGCCTTATCACGACTTCGAAACATCTCAAAGCGCTTCACAGAATATACTGTAAAGTGAATTGATTGTATATTCTGTACAACAACAAGAAGATTCCATTTATAGAGCGCCTTTCACGTCGGGAGGACGTCCCAAGGCGCTGTACAGTTGGGTCAGGACCCGAGCAGGGGGAAAATGGTCAGGGTGAGGGAAGGGAAGGGAGGGAGCGAGGAGTGGGTAGAGAGTCGAGAGGGGAGCTGAAGGCACGGTCAAAGAGAAAGGTCTTGAGACCGGCCTTGAAGGAGGAAAGGGAGGAGGCGGTGAAGGCACTGGGGGATAGAGTTCCAGAGCCTTGGGGTTGAGAGGCTGAAGTCCCGGTCACCGATGGTAGGGCGGTTGGGGCGGGGGATGTGGAGCGATCGGAGCAAGAGGAACGGATGGTACGGGCAGGTAGGTATGGGGATAGTAGGTCAAAGAGGTAGGAGGGAGCGAGGCCGTGAATGGCCTTGCAGGTGAGGATGAGGATCTTGAATTCGATCCTCTGGAGGATGGGGAGCCAGTGGTGGCGAGCGAGGGTGAGTGATGTGGTCCCGAAGCCTGGTGCGGGACAGTACACGAGCTGCAGAGTTCAGAATGACCTGCAGCTTGTGGGGGGAGGTACCGGGAAGGCCGGCGAGGAGAGAGTTCCCATAGTCCAGCCTTGAGGTGATAAAGGCGTGGACCAGGGTTTCAGCAGCGTGAGGGGTGAGGTAGTGCCGTAGTCTGGCGATATTCCGGAGGTGATGGAAGGCGGTGCCAGCTGTGGCGCGGATATGAGGGAGAAAGGACAGCTCAGGGTCGAACAAGAACACCGAGGTTCCTGACCGGCTTCAAAAGGTGGAGAGTGCAGCCTTGGATGCTGATGCTGTCAGCGCCTGAGGTGCTGAGGTTCTGTAGGTGAAACTCGGCAGCCACTGCACATTGCAGCGACCCACAAATAATCGTGGATTGAGTTATATATAGATCTAAAAACAGGTTTTTTGGTCTATATAAATTTTCATCAGCTAAAACACATAATCGTTTCATTTTGATTTAGCATCTTATCACGTCATCGAAACATCTCAAAGCACTTCACAGGATACACACTGGACAGATAGCTCTTCCATACCTGTCCTTAACTCAGCAGAGTAATTACTCCCAGTAGTAGGAAAAAACATACTTTTTAATGAAGAAACCAAATACATGACACCCCCGCCCCTACACAGACAAATCACCACCAAATGCACAGTAATAAGTGCAGTATTAAATTTAGTATTCATATTACTGCAGAGCCATCTCAGCTGCAACTTTAGTAAAATTCTATCACATGCCAATTAGTTGCAAATCCTTGCTAGAAAGTATGTCAGATTTTATAAGGAACCTCCACAATAAACAGTATATTCAGTTCTATTTTGTATCAGCCTGGTTTTGTAGCACAAGTCTATAAAAATGCTGACTTTCTTTCTTTCTTCCTTTCTAATTAAGCAAAAACAAACCAGGTGGCAATCCCACATTGAGACATGTTTAACAACTTAGTTGGGAACAATCTACTTAAATACGAAAGTGGTCATTACACGGAAGTGGATGTCTGAAAGGACAACTCAAAACCACAAACATCAATTTTTAGGTAGTGGTCAGCCGGGTGTCTGACACATGCGGAAACCCATCACAGTGCTTAAGAGTATCCAAACCAAATTAAGAAAACCATCCATCCCACCTGCACATGGAAATTCCAGAGAGATTGTTGGAATGGAATGGAACGCGCTATCTCCCCCAGAAGGGTTGTATCCTGCTTACCTAATTCCGGTAATTATTAGCCGCAGGTTGGCAAGAACCAAGGTTTGCGGACCCCAGAGTGTGCGTTGGGTTAACTGCTGGAGCCGAACCAACTGAAACCACATAGCTTACCATTGATAGCAATATCTGGCAAGCTTTCCCGCTGCTTGTCCAGCTAGGACCACTATACTCCTCGTCAATGAGCCCAGAAGTAACTATGTTCACTTGATTGTCTTATAAAATACGACACCTGTCTAAAAACTGAAATCAGATTTTCAACACATCGCAGTTGTCAATTGTGTGGTGAAATCAACATTATTTGTTCACCAAATTGTAGACATATACGAGGGGTTGGGCATTTTATTAGTTTTATGAGGGCCTCGTTGAGTTACTGACTGTGATCTTGTGCAATAAAAGAAAATCAAATCAAAAATCCTTGTTCACTCCATTGCTTTTCGTTGGGAGTTAATTTTATTGCGTTCAGACACCCAATGTGCAAGGGCTTCTTTCCTTCTCTGCTGTGCTTTTTTTCCTCTGGTCGATAAAACAAAAAAAACACGAAAAAGACATTCTTATCATTGTCAATTTAGCTCAAAATAAAACGCAAGAGTAGAGGTGAAGGTGAAACTTCCCCTTCATTAAAATGTTTTAGCTAATATTTTATTTTAGCTGACCAATCCAATTTAGTCCCATGAAGGATTACGCCATCTAAAAATCATAGTGTTCAGAATAGCAGGAGGACACATACGCCTGTGCTGGAGCCCAACCCACTGCCTCTGCTCGACTGGCTCCAGCCTCCTGCTTGTCCCTCGTGCCCTCCATTCCACCATCGGTGGTCGCGCTTTCAGCCGCTACTCCCCAAAACTCTGGAATACTCTCCCTCTCTTTGTGGCCAAACACCTTCCTCTTCCCGGGCCGATGGTCACCTCCCCTTTCCCCCAGCTCAGCGTCATGCTCCCACTTTCAAGCGATCTAGGACCCTACCCTGTGTGAGGGGTACTATATAAATGCAAGTTGTTGTTAGAGACATCCATTCTAATCGCATTCTCCTGCTCATCCCTCATTCTCTCTTATTTTTTCCTCAATTCTTTATTCAATTTCCTTTCAAATACTGAGCCTCGGCTTTGACAGCAATGCATCAACGTGTTCATATTTTAACAGCCTTCTATGTTTTTTTTAAACAAAGATCTTCCAACCTCCACTCCATTTCCTGCAGATGTCCCTCCATTAATGCCCTTGCTCTGACTGGAATGCAAGGATTGATCATGCGAAAAATGGCTCAATTGTCCAACAACAGTAATAGCTGTCTTACTTGGGAAGGAAGCTACTTCGAATCATACTTAGCACTTTACTCCAACAGCAACATCACTCTTACCGGTGTGTTTTGACAAGTGGAAATGCACAACCAAGGTAATGATTATCCATGCGCAGAGTTATATAGAGTTCCACAAGAACAGGAAAACCAGTCAGATCTTCAACTATATACAGGAGTCCTGTAACTCAGCACTTAGAGCGCTCGCCTTGCAAGCGAGAGACCTGGGTTCGACCCGGCAGGGCAAAATGTTGGACAAGTTTCCTTGCTCCACAAGCCTCTGCTTACCTAACAATAAGTAGGGACCCAGTTGTTAGTTGATTGTCGGATCACTTTTCCAGGGGTAATAATTCCTTCAAAAAAAATAATAAATTGGTCACTCAAACCACGACTGTTGTGCGCAATTGGCTGCCGCGTTTTGCCCACAATTCATTGTACAGTATATTCTCTGAAGTGTTCTGAGACATCTCGATGATATAAGGCACTATATCGAATGCAAGGATTATTGCTATTATTATTGCCTTCCCCATAGAATGCTAATATTTAAAATGGTTCGCTTTCTTATTAAACCTGAACATCCAATTCAGTTAGCTCGCCTGATTTAAAAAAGCCACACACATTTCTATTCTGAGATCCATTCAGTGACCATTCAGTGATTTTTTTTAGCAATGAACTTTACTGATCTCTTGACATCACTAAATCTTGCCTGCGTAAAACACTTTCGACACAAAAAGGGTATCTGTGCACAGACAGTGCTGTAAATTATCTGTGGAATTTACATCAAATGGCAAAATGCACAAATAGGTACAGAGCTGAATAAATGTCCTGCTAAATTAAAAGCACTTTGGACAGAGGTTAAGTAAGAGGTATTGAACCACCTAATCAGAGATATTATAAATGGATAATCAGTGGGTACCTCAGTCACCACTTAACAGTGCAACACAGAAACCAGTTTCTAAGCACTATATGCAACTCCTTATAGATTTAACAAGCTACCAATTTAAAGATCAACCCTTTAATATTCTACGACGACGACAACTTGCATTTATATAGCGCGCTTCCCAGATGGTGGAACTAGGGAGACCAGCAAGTTCCCTTGCCACAGGATCAACACAGCTGTCCCAGTAAATATAATACTATTTGTGGGAAGCTGCTGTGAGCAATTGGCTGCTGCGTTTTGCCCACAAAATGTAGTCAATTCACTTTACACTATATTCTGCGAAGCACTTTGAGACGTCTCGAAGACGTGATAAGACGCTATATCGAATGCAAGTATCATTATTGTTAATTATTATTATTATCAAAGCAAAGGGCCAGTAAATATTTCAATCCTATTCTCACAGTCCACAATTCCACTATCTGTTGATGCCTTCACAGCAGGGCTGTGCACTGGGGACATTGAAGTGGAATCAAAGCCAGCCATACTGTTTGAAGCTTGAGTTTGGTTATATGCCAAGCACCATACAGGGGATTTGATATCAGCCCAAACCTGGGCTCTCTCCAGGTGAGCTCCCCACGCAACCGCAGGACTGACCTTTCTACATTTGGTAATTGGTATGAAGAAGGGGCATAGCAGGAAATCAGGCCCATGAGTAATACACAAACCATCCACTTCCCTGACTCTAGCCTTTAGAAATTATGAAACATGCACAAGTTTCTGGGTCTAATAGCCCCCTGAGAACTTTCGTCTTCTACCTATACTAATAAAGACAAAGTGTCTGTCTGTGTGTCAGTATATCTGACAATCATGCAACAATCGATTGACGTAGAAACATGATTTATACCTCTTCGGAAAGGTCTTGCAAGTGGCAGTTTCATGGACAT